GTAAAAAAGTCACTAGATTGCTTTAATCGCAGATTCACTAGAAATTTAAAAGCGAAGAAAACACCACAAAAATTTAGCATATCTCTTTTGAAAACGTTTCGGAGACCAGCTCCATCGTCAGTTCGATAAATCTAGAACACAGATAAAGGTAGAAAATTAGCTTGGAGTTAATAAAAAACACAGAAGTTAAAAACCTAAATTTACAGACAAAGGGTAGAATAATAAAGTAAGTACCTATCTATTCACAATTTCTAATGGATAAGAACTATAGGCAGCATTTAAACTAGGCTTCTCGTTAAAAATATACAATGATTCCAAAATACGCAGATCGGAAGCACCAGAACTATAATCAATATTCAATGCTTCACCAGAAATCAAATTCAATATTCATTAATTTTGTATACAGCCGCCATATTTTTTTACTTTTCTTCTTTTTCTCTCTTCTTCTTCTTGCCACCCATTTCCTACGACACACAACAATCCCACAATTATGGCCTTTTACTGTGTGTATCATTAGTGTTTAAAACAATCTTACATTAATTTTACCTAGCCAAAAAAAAACCTAACCTATCCTAACCAAACTGAACACAGCCCGACATATCCTAACCTAACCTGTCCTAACCTAATCTTACCTCACCTAACCTTACTTCACCTAACCTTACCTTGCCTAACCTTACCTAACCCAACACAACCTAACCTAATTTAACCTATCCTAACCTAACCTAACCTGAACTAACTTTGTCTTACCTTAATCAACCCTAACCTAACCACCCTATGTGATTGTCGCCATAGGAACTTGTTCCTGACTTGAACCTAACCTCAGCAAATGACGTACCTATATTTTACGACATGTTTAATTTCCTACCTGTTCATATTTCGATTCCATGCATGATTGTGGCCGGAGTTCGCATTTCCAACACTCACTGAACTTGTTGGAAATGCGGCCTAAAAAATATATTAAAAAAATATATTTTTAAATAATATATTAAAAAATATATTAAAATAAAACTCCGGCCTAAATACTCCAAACATCAATAGCCTGGTTGTCGGTTTTCCTCTGTCAAAGTAAACAGTGCAAAAAGTTCAAGTACTTAGTCGATGGTTGCAAAAAACACAGCTTCAAAACTTCTTATGGTACCAGTTTCTCAACTTACAAGTCGCATTTGCGAGCGTTGCCTACTCCTGATCATCATACGTCTTAATACGGCTTGAGCGAAATTCTACTTGAAATCTTGTTTGACGGCAGATATCGAGTGAACGCCAGGGCCCTGAGCTCAACACTCGGGGCCATAAAAATTTTTGTTTTATTTTCATTGTAATTTGTTTGAATTTCCTTCAATGCTGCACGTTACCGAGTTAAAAGACCTTATAAAAGCAAAAAATCGCAGTTAAGAATAATCCCTTACGAAAAATCTGTATTGGACGCAGTGGTGGACTTAAATTTTTTATAAATATCAAAATTTAATAATAAAGTATAAACTTCAATCTAGATTCAGAAAAGTATTGATGGACATTTTATGATTGAACATTATTTAAAGAAAATGTATTTAATTAGATTTGAGAATAACCCATACTAAATGAATAAATTATTAATTGCAATTTTCAGTTAACATTGAAATTTACCAAATATTTGCTTGAAAAATACCTTCTCATACTACGATTGATGGTTTTATCGGGAGATTGAATAGTATTGGACATTATATTATGTAAACAACTTTTGACTTAGCAACACGGTTGAACTAGTATAGTTTATCCATGATTTAATTCCCTGTCGCCAAGAAAACGGAGCGTCGTTTGAGGTGGACTGTCGAAATGTAGAACCGGTGAAGCTTCAGAAGTCAAAAATAGTGATGAAAGAACGTTTCCAGCCTTTAATAACTTCCGCAAATTAATATATAGGGCAAATATGTGATAATCTGCCCCGAAACATGCGCATCCGCTACTTGAATCGACGGTTGTTTCTCCCGCAATGTAAATAAATCAAGAATTNATCCACAGTTTCGTGTTGAATATGCCGTGTTAGACCTGTAACGCTGCATATTGTCGTACGTTTTTTATATTAGTTCGCATGTTTGCACTATGGGCCAAATTTTAAATTATGTGTTGTTATTTTTACAGGTTATATTTTTGGTGCTGACAATCTCTGAAACTGAATGAATTTAACCTAAAAACTGGACGTCGACATTAGAGTAGACCTGACTGGAAAGAAGCTCAAGTGACACCATTGTTCAAAAAAGGAGACAAAAGCTGCCCGGTCAACTATCGCTTTGCCAGATTGACAAGTGTCGTTTGCAAGTTGATGGAATCTGTTGAGAGGGATCGATTGATCGATAATTTGACTGCTAACAATCTCCTATCAGACTGTCAACATGGCTTTATTGCCGGGAGATCCTGCACCACTAACCTCTTGTCTACTCTGAACGAACGGACCCGCCTGTTGGACGAAGAGAGCCAGTAGTTGCAGTGTACCTCGATTTTGCCAAGGCATTTGACTGTGTCCGACATGAGCGTCTGTTGTGCAAATTGAAATCTTTGGGAATTGAGAGTAATTGACTCAAATGGATCAGAGATTTTCTGGGAGGGAGACTCCATCATGTCATTATTAATGGGTCCGTATCAGACTTGGCTTCAGTGCGCAGTGGCGTGCCACAAGGAAGCGTTCTCTGGCCTGTTTTATTTGTAGCGTTTAAAAAAGATCTGCTCGGAGCTGTGTCTAGCGTGTGCTCGATGTATGCTGACAACACAAAAATTTATAATTCCGTGAAGAATACGTCGCAAAAAGTACAGTTGCAAGTTGATCTTGACAGGTTCGTTGACTGGGCTGATAAGTGGCAGCTGCGTTTTAACGCTGACAAATGTAAAGTAATCCACCTTGGCAAGAATAATGAACAGCAAGATTACAGTATGAGAAGACACGATTCCAACGACAGAGTGATGATGTAAATATTTAGGAGTTAATATTGACAATAGTTGAAATTTTCTAAGCATATTGAAGGGCATGTTAATAAAGCCAATAAACTACTTGGACTGATCAGACACTCTTTCGAGTTCCTAGGTGCAGAAGCGATGAAGCAGTTGTTTGTTGCTGTACTGCGACCAAGCCTAGAGTTTGGAAACGTCGTGCAGTCACCGATACTTGAAAGGGACAAAATTCTGTCGAGAGTGTTCAAAGACGTACAACAAGGATAATTCCGGGCTTGAAAGGCAAATCATATGAAGAAAGAATAAAGATTATGATGCTTCCAAGCCTCAGTTATCGACGTCTGCTTGGTGAGGTCATTGAAGTATACAAGTGTACTCATGATCTATACATGGTCCCAGAAGGATTACTAGAATTTAACGCAAGAACCAACAACAGGGGCCACGGCTATAAACTAAAAAACTGCGTTGTAACACATCCATGCGAAAACGTTTCTTCTCGCTTCGAGTCACCGACATGTGGAACAGCCTCCCCGACAGCATCGTTGACGCTCCGAATATGAACGCCTTCATGAACAGACTAGACGAAGCTATGCAGATGCATATGTTCAGTCTTAAAATGTCAAGCAACTTATGGTCCAGGCAATAATTCCAGCAGTTATCTCAATCAATCGTCAGTTATGAAAGATCGGCTTCCAAAGGCCGGATCCCTTGTGAATCAAGTCACGAAAAATTCAAGAATCAGCAACAGGCCATGGGCCTATTTCTTCAGTGCCAACACTTCTATTCTATATTCTATTCTATTACTTTGTTGGCTTCATGTCAGGCATTTTACCCAGTAGGGTTTAACTTGGCCAATCTTTTGTACCTTAACCAATCTTAGGATTTATTTATATTTGGATAGTTACCTTCGGTCTCTGATTCTGCGTATTTGCATGCCTTACCAAAACTCTTAGATATATGAGCAAACACATCACTTATTTATTTATTTATTGTAATAATGGTTCTCATTTCTCAGAATTGTTGCTGTGAACTAATCTAAGATTTCTGTTACATGACGTAAATAGATAGATGTTTTGTTTATGTTTGCTATTTATTTCATCGTGCCGCTATTGTATTGTGCTAACTGCTCTGCAGGTCGTTCAATTAATTGGTTCAGGTCGTGCAGGATCAGTTCATCCTGGCTACAGTCACTTCCTCTCATTTTTTCCAATAGATGGTTTTTTCCAACAGACGTTTATTTCCAACATATCTATATTATTTTTATACTCAGCTGCTTGGAGATGTGATTCAGAGACTACTTGAAATTTGGTGTGCAATTAATTTGTTATTATAGCTCATAAAAATATAATGCTGTTTTGTGCCGAAAAATCAAAAATTAAACTGGTTGCAACAAATCATTATAAATTTATTCAAGTTTTAAATCAACAGAATTTAATTTTAGCCTTCAGCATAAATGAGCATGAAAACATAATAGAATCAATTGAAAGTAATAACAGAGAGTTGAATATCCTGGAATTGAAACCCATCGTTGTATGACATCACCAATTTTATAATTTTCGACTGATGAATGTACGTATGTACCTTCAACGGCTGGGTACGTGCGTCGTAGAAACTGCTTTCGTCCGGAAAAATCAGACGATTTATTTCAGTTCATTTAATCACGGGGCTTTGGTGCAGCAGTATATTCCGTACCAATCAGTGAAGGGGTTTACCCACACCCAAATCCAGCCAGGGAACGGGCAAGACTTGTCCCAATATCCATCCTGAAATGATAAAATGGTATTTAATATATAATATAAAGTTGATTTCTTCGTAACGCCGTTCTCTAAAGAATACAAATTATTCATCAATTACCGAGAGCTGAATTTATTCATGTAGCGAGATCTAAAAGGTTGACCATATTAATGAGAGAATTTTTATTCATCACGCTTTGAATCATAACTAAATTTAGAGAACAAACTTCAGGAACGGTGAGCCAGTCTCATTAAATGATTGGGGGATACGACATACATAATTAAGAAAGTATTTTTTCAATCCAATAATACTATTATAAAGGACGTTTTGTAAATGATTTGTCATACTCTAGATAAAAATAACTAGCCGATGTTGGTTCATACATGTAAATTTTCACAAATACTTTTCCTGCTTAAGTACCTTTATCTAGCAGAATTACTTTAATACAGGTTACATTTTATAATTTTTTTCAAATGTTTATACTTACCCCAAACCAAGTATAGCATGACATGCCAACGATACCATCTAAGCAGCAATCTCTGACTTCTGCATAAATAAAATACAGATCAAATTCATGTTCGTGCGAATAATGTTGCAAATCTATATTTAAATTTTCTCCATTTTACTTTTGCCTATTCAATGGTCATATTATTAGTTGATCTATAACTATTCTATGAGAAATTTATTTCATGGGAGTAAATAGTATTGCAACGAATGACATATTATTTGATAGGCATTTCGTACTTTAAACTTTAAAATATTCCTCGCTGATATTTTTATGAGTAAAAATATGATTCAAAATAAATACTCATGAACAATAAATGAGGATGGTACCGCGAAGATTCTGCTCAGGTACAGGCTCGACGATCCGTGCCACTTCAGAATTTTTCGGATTTGAAGCTTTCTGCACGGAAACAACAATCAAATATTATCGTAGGAGCATTAGTTACAAAATAATTCAATATGTAAATATACAAATTTAAATTATTATTTTTGCTATTAATGTGTGATCAAAATTTCCAGAGATTTAGAAGCTATACAAACGACCTCACCATTCGGGTACCCAAAGGCTCTGCAGCAGCCACTGCGACCAGCAGCAACACGCACAGCAGCGGCGTCTTCTGCATCGTTGCAAGTTCTCTCAGGACTAGCTGGGAGGAATAAATGTTGAAAATTTACAAAATTTATTTCAGGCATTTCCATATAAATTTAGTTTAAATTGTGTTTTAATTTTTTTCCCTGGTGGATCGTATCAAAATATGAAATCGACAAAATTAAGAGAAAACACTGTAACTTACTTCTGGTACGGTTGGGTGAGTTTTGCTGTATGTATCAACAGCAGGAAAATCTACACTGAGTCTGTGCCATCGCTGTGGTCAGGTTATATAAACTGCTCTGCAGCAGTTTATCAGGCTGTAAAATAATTTCTGGGCTTCATTTCTAACATGTGGTAGCTATTAATTAATCTTCATGTTATTTATTCGGCTCTATTCATTTTGCATTGATCTATTTGTTGATGTTCGCTTTTTGTATAGGATCTGTCGAAGCTTGGACAAGAATGAATATAAGCCTGCAACATAAATTCGTGATAAAGCGCACTATTCTAAAATTAGAGCATTAGGAAGGTGGAAAATTGATGTACAAAGTTAAACGATTCAGGGTTTTGTTGAATTGGCACTAGATGTACGATGAATACTTTGACGAATAACGTCCTATTCAGGCAAGTGCAGCTCGATTGTCTGAAACAAAACAGATGAAAAGGCCCCTTCAAACCATTGTATTAGATCATTTGTACATGCCATGGTCGACTCAAAATATTGCTTCACTCTGAAATTTCTGCTCGAGCATGTAAAGAAATCACTCACATGAAACGGATTAGAAAAGCCATGAAGTTAAATCAACTGTTTGACAGCCAAGCTTCATCAATTCGCATCTGACCAAGCTTCATCTGGACGCATACTTAATTTAAGTCGCAAAACTGAACATTCGATACTAGCGATAAATACAAAATCGAATATTTCGTTCGATCCATTCTCTGCATCTGAATATTACAGCAAGAAGTAGTGATTTTTTATTAAACTTTGTTCACTATTTGGCAGTTATGCAAGCTATCCGAAATCTGATAAAAATTATTCACATAGACACTTTTAAGTGGACGTCACGGACGGACATGATGAGCACAATCTTTTTTCCTGGAAATCTTCTTTCCAATCGCCTCCTTCCCATAAATGAGAAAATGAGCTAAAAATACAAATCGAAACAAATGTCTGAAGAAGAGGTCTATGCTACTGCTATTCAGTCATCGGGGCGGAAATCTATTAACAAGTTTTCATAAGACCCCGCAGTTTTATCAATTTTACTCATCAGAAGAAACTGCACAGCCAACATGATCATCCTCAAAACCCTTCACTTCATAGCCGCAGAATTTAATGCAAAGTTTGTGCTTTCGCGTTCTTACATTCCTGAAATTTTAAAAATTTGAAAACTTTATTTAACTGTTTATTTGAAAAATAGTGATTTTAGGTATATTACACAGATATTGAATGAGACGAAACTTGGCTTTTTAAGTTCGTTCAAATGTAGGATAAACTGATTTTTAATAGATGTGACCCTTTAAAGTAAACGAATGGTCTTTATTTATTTAAATTGGCATCAGACAGAAATGGATTACAATTCGATTAATTATTTTAATATGAAGGCCATCTGACTAAAGAAATTCCTTACAGCAAATCATTACGATCAAAAATTTCAGTATAATATAGTAGGAGAAAATAATATATGAAAAATGTTTACACTAAATTGAAATATATACACTAATCACGGAAATCACTAATCATTTCGTTGTAGTTGCCGGCGTAAACTATAAAGTAGTTGAATTGTTGACTGCCGTGCACAAAATAATGTACACCTAATAACAACATATTAAAAGTACGTAAATTCATGGACATGGCAATATCCTGTTATATACTTAATTGTACGAGATTTTCCTTAATATATTATGGACTATTAAAAAATATCACTGTAAAGAATATGGCTCTTTGTTCGGGGGATTGTTGAGAATGAAAACGCGTTGTAGATTGTAACGGTTTCTGAAAACAAAGAATGAACAATTTATTTTGCATCAGAATGCTTGTAACTCACTAAGCCATTGTACTGTTCTTAGGTTAAATCAATCTCAATCATCAGCTTTTCTATTTGGGAGGGTCTACACTAACAAATTGAAGAAATTACGTTGTCTGTGTGTTTCATCTCATTTTGAACCATGACCTACGACAAAAATATGATAAATCGGAAGAAACATACGGCAGCGAAATAGTTTTCATTGTTTTTTAAGCCGTTTTTAGTTTTGTAAGATGAACATTTTATAACCATTTTTAGCGCATTTTCTCATTTATGGAAAAAATTCACTATTGTGCTCGCCATGTCCGTCTGTCTGTCTGTCTGTCCGTCCGCCCGTCTGTCCGTGACTTCAAGTTTTCGTCGACGAGAAAATGCGCTCCCTGTCACACACTGCAATGAGTACTGAATTATATTTTTTTGCAATGTGTTTGCACTCGTTTGAAAGCTGCAAACAAGACGTGTTCAATTAAGTCAATATCATGAATACGAAGTACTTTTTGCCTGGGGCCGTTGTGAACTTTTATAAAATGAGCATTTTATATATATAAATATATGAGAAAAAGCCGAATTTATAGCTTTCTATCCACGTTAATCTGGGTAAAAATACGTCTAAAGACACGTGATAGTATCCTCAATACGTGTAATTGGCCATGAGAAAGCTGGGGCTACAGTATCAAGTGATCTTTTTAGCATATTTTTCTTCTTTAAAAATTTTCACTTATTTGGGCTCACTGAACAATTGAAATTTCCAGACACGCCATTTTGAAAATATATCCCCTCCTATAGTTTCCAAGCTACGGCATTGAAAGACATATCATTCGATTTGTAAAGACCATATCTATAGTGTCTCTAGAAGCAATTTTTTCTGATTTATATTACATATTGAAAAATATGGGGGGGAAATGGGAAAAATCGTACAGTAAATATAATTTAAAACCAGAAAAAGGTCTTCTAGAGTCGAACGATATTCTCTTTAATAATCGAACGATATTTTTCTCGATCGATGTTGTAGCAACTAAAAGAAGGAGAAGAGAAATATTCAATTGACACCATTTATGCCGTTTTCAATGCATTTCACTTTTCATTTAAAATTTCTCAAAAATTCATTTTTACAAAATGTTTTTATTTCAGTGACCTACAGAGGTATGCGAAGTTTCAGAAATCAGGCATTTTGTTTAGCAAATAGTTTTGTTGATACACCTTCTCCTTAAGTAACCAAACAATTGCTATATTTTCAAGTTGAAACTTCGCACAATTATCCAAATCATGTGCTAACTATTTAAATGAACGAATAATTTAAAGCGAAAATTTCAGGAATTTGTGAACATTCTGCTATTCTGAAATGAATCAATAGACACACGTATAACACAGCCCTGACACTAAAAAATATTACATTTATTCCGAGTCACAACTAATCAAAACTAAAAACTAAGCATCTGTTTGTCTCTCACTAGAAACGATTTTTGTTCAACTGAAACAAGAGTTATTGTATCCCTGAAAAAATCTTAGCCTGGAAGTAATAATAATAGTAATTTTTAATGATAATTATACTAGTAATAATAATATAAATGATAATAATCTCCCTGAAAAATCTACCTTATCATTTCAGGAAGAAATTTTTAACTTAAGCTTCTATACACTTGGAACGCACTATACGAACCATAGGGAATATTTATCTTCGATCTTTGTGTAATGGACAGCAACACATCTGAATCCATAAAGAACAAGTGAACCTTTATTGAAAAGTTGCAAATCAGATTACTGGCATCAAAGCATGAGATAACGCTCTTCATTTATCCTTCTATTCAGACTTTGCGACCAGATGCATCACAGATGCTGCCATGAAATGCATTGCTGGATTTATTTGTATGTCGGACCAGTTTTCATGGTGCAGCCTATATAATTCACTGGCAACCCTCGCATGGACTCAGAACAGCTACCAGCCTACAATCGTAAACAGAACTCAGCTCTAACAGGAACGCGGAAAACTTTGGTGGGTTCCAGTTGACTTTACATAGCGAATTTGAAGTTTTATGGTCAAGATTTTTTCAAACTCTAATAACCTAATCTCGCTAGATCGGAATTTTTCGAGTGAAAATTTAGTTTCACTTTTTTGTATTCCAAATGTCGGTCATTTAATTTCGCATTGTGTGTGTTATTTCTTCTTGTAAATAATAATCAATTGCAAATTGTAGATAAAACTAAGTAATGAAGCTAAGATTTGATTGCTCGCAGTGTCATTCAAATTTTAAATAGGCTGATGTTCAACAATTTATGTTCACTGCCTGTTTTGACGACGAATACTTTTTGAGTTATTGCTACAATTCACTCATTGGTTACTACACAATAAACATAACCGTTGAAACTACACATACGTGTCCAACGGAAAAAACATGCTAATTGTTCCGTTCATTTTTCTCCTTCCAGTGCCATGAAGTTGATGTTATTGACGCTGATGCTGGTGGGGGCTGTAGTCACCACGCAGGTATTACAAAATTATTCAATTTATTTGTCACTTTAATTGTCAATACACTAACAAAATCTTAGGTACGGATAGATTTGAGCTCAGTAGTCGCTCGGCCCGAAGTGTTTCTGAGTCTGCTTGGCCACCCGATTCGTTGTTAATTCATATAACTAAACCTGTTCTAATTTTGCATTTGAATCATGTTATCATGATGAATACATTGAAATTGTAATTCATACTATTTCAGTTAACAGTTACAAATTTTTTAACAGTATTAAGTTCACAAAACATTTTGCTGTTGATGATTGGGCACTTAAAAAACTGCAGTAAGTCGTTTCGAGCTGCGAAATTTCGGGTATCATGGAACCAAATAATGCTGATCACACCACAGCCAGTGTGACCCGACATGTTCTCAAGTTCCTGAAATTTAATTTCAATTTTCTTCGTTACAGATATCAGAAAAAGGTGCTGCCCACACGTCCCGGCAGATCAGTACGTAAACAGATAAGATAGGCAATATCGATATTAAATCAGGATATTTACATTTATACGCAGTATGTTTTTTAAGTAAGGACCGTTTTGGAATTGAAAAAAGACGTGCAAAGATATCGCAATAATTTTATTTTTACATAAAAGCCTGTATCTTGATCTACTTTTCTACATAATTTACGTGAATATATATTGAGGCACTTGTCTTAACGTAACACCAGTTTTTGAATACCCTCCTTATAAAATTCTGCCGCCTGATTTGGATGTGAAATTCTGAATTCTGCTGAAAACGCCTGAAAT